AGGGCAGGGCCGCGCTCCGGGCGGATCCCGCTGATCCCGGGATCCGGCAGGAGCTCGTTCCCGCTGATCCCGGGATCCACAGGAGCTCATTCCCGCTGATCCCGGGATCCACAGGAGCTCATTCCCAGTGATCCCGGGATCCACAGGAGCTCATTCCCGCTGATCCCGGGATCCACAGGAGCTCATTCCCGGCTCCTCTTGCAGGGCCATCAAGAACGGGAAGGGGCTGCACAGCAAGAAGGAGGTGCCGATCCACAGGGTGGCCGACATCTCCGGAGTAAGGATCCAAACGGGATAAAACCTGTGGGGAGAAATGGGATAAAACCTGTGGGGAGAAACGGGATAAAACCTGGAGAAATGGGATAAAACCCACAGGGATAAATGGGATAAAACCTGGAGAAATGGGATAAAACCTGTGGGGAGAAACGGGATAAAACCCACAGGGATAAAACCCACGGGAATAAATGGGATAAAACCTGTGGGGAGGAATGGGATAAAACCTGCAGGGATAAAATCCATGGGGAGAAACGGGATAAAACCCGTGGGGACAGATGGGATAAAACCTGTGGAGATAAAACCCGTGGGAATAAATGGGATAAAACCCACAGGGATAAAATCCACGGGAATAAGCGGGATAAAAGCCACAGGGATAAAACCCGTGGGAATAAACGGGATAAAAGCCACAGGGATAAAATCCACGGGAATAAACGGGATAAAAGCCTCTCGGCACCGTTTCCCGGGAGCTCCGGGGTTGTTCCCGTTTCCCCTCGGGTCAATAAACCGGGAGCTGCCCCAGAGCCTGGGATCCAGAGCCGGGAGCCAGCACCGGAATGCCAGTGGGAAAATCCGGGATTCCCCGGCTCTGCTGAGGGGATCTGGGGATCCCCACACCTCCCGGCAGAGCTCGTTAAGTTTCCCTCCGTTAATTAACGTTTCCAAGGATTTCTGTGGAGCTCTTGGCGGATGGGATGGGATGGGATGGGATCCATGGGATCCATGGGATCCATGGGATGGGATGGGATGGGATCCATGGGATGGGATGGGATGGGATCCATGGGATGGGATGGGATAGGATGGGATGGGATGAGATCCATGGGATCCATGGGATGGGATCCATGGGATCCATGGGATC